AGTATTTGATTTATTTATGCGAAATATATCTATGATTTTAGATCTTTATTCCATCGAAAACCAATATTGATTTTAATTATCATTGTTGTTTTTACCTTAATAACTATCATTAGTATTACAGTATTGGCTATTTTCATTAATAAAGCCAAAACAACAATTAATACAACTACGACTGCAATTGATGTATCGACAACAATGCTTACAACGTCATCAACAAAAACATCAACTCATACAACGTCGATTAATTCTCATACAACAACAATGAATGGTAAAGTTTTGTTACTAAAGAAAAAAATAAAAACTGGCATATTTCCTGGGTACAAAAACAAAATAAGCTCCACACATAAATTCCAAATTTGTAGCTCACTTACGCATCTATATTTCACCTGAAGATATCTGAAAATATACAGTTGCCCAAGCAAGAATTAATAATTAAATACAGAACACAAGTATTCAGTATCTGAAAGTATCATTTCCATAACAGAACAATTCTGTTCTATTTTTTCGAATTTTGAGGTGAGGGTATATTTGAAGAATCATTCGCACCCGCACTTTCAAAATATTTTTCAAAAGAATTTATTTTCCAAATACAGAACTTCAAATGTTTTATATTCTTTTTTAGTAGAATTATTTTTCAAAATTTAACAAAAAATATCAAATAAAATTTGTCTTCTCATTATACATTTTTATCAATATTATATTCAAAATTCAACTTTAACAAAGAAACAAAATCAAAGTTTCATTGAAAACTAATCTTTTCTTTTTTCTTCGATCAAAAACAAATTTTCTTCTTCTTTTCATCAAAACCTTTTATTTTCATTATTTTCTAGTATCAAAATTTAAGAAATGGAAACAAGATGCCATCACTGTGGCTGGTGGAAATGGAGGAGGACAGCAATTAAATCAACTCAATCGGCCTTTAGGAATCTACATTGATAAAAAGAAAAATGTTTTCATTGCTGATTGTTCCAATCATCGTATTATTGAATGGAAATATAATACAAAAGAAGGACAAATCATTGCAGGTGGAAATGGACAAGGAAATCGAATAGATCAGTTGAATCATCCAGTAAATGTGATTGTTGATGAACAAACTCATTCGATCATCATTGCTGATACTGGGAACAGACGATTGATTCAATGGTTAAGTCAAAATCAACAGATTCTCATTGATGATATTGACTGTTTTGGTTTAGCAATGGACAAAAATGGATCGCTTTATGTTTCGGACTGGAAGACGAATGAAGTAAGACGATGGAAAATGGGAGAATACAACAACGAAGGAATTATAGTGGCAGGGGCAAATGGAAATGGAAGTCAACTCAATCAACTCAATTGGCCTACTTTTATCTTTGTTGATGAAGATCAATCTGTTTATGTATCAGATTTTGAGAATCATCGTGTAATGAAATGGAGAAAAGATGCAAACGAAGGAATAGTTGTGGCTGGAGGAAATGATCAAGGAGGAAAACTTAATCAATTTCATTATCCAAAAGGTGTAATTGTTGATGATTTGGGTCAAATCTATGTAGCAGATCTGGGGAATCATCGAGTAATTCGTTGTTATGAAGGAAAAGAAGACGGTGAAATTGTTGTTGGTGGAAATGATAAAGGTAATCAATCAAATCAATTCCGTGGTCCTACTGGTTTATCTTTTGATGATGAGGGAAATCTTTATGTTGCTGATTTTGGAAATCATCGAATTGAAAAATTTGAAGTAATTTTTTGAGTGAAATTTTAATTTTGAAGAAAAGAAAAGAACTTTTTTGTAAAACAAAAAATCTAAAAATAAAAGTAAAATAAAAAACAAAATTCAAGAAAACTAAATTGAGGGTGGGGGTGGGCGTACAAGGGGAAACAGCCAATTACACTCATATCTACACCCACACCCGCAAATACATATAATCAACAATTCCATGGATAATGAGAAGGAAAAACAATATGACTAATGACAAGTGAAAGAAGGAGAACAATCATATATGTGACAGGAAAAATCCCGATGATTTCTGACGGACAAGGTGGAGGGCATAACATTTTTCTTTTGTATAATCGTTTGTAGTCTTGCAAAAGTGGTCATTATAAAATCACATTGTTTTCTTTGTAGGCATATTTCAATGATGGTGGCAGAAGAGCTTTGTATGTTAACGGTAAAAGACGGATGTACAATGCATCTTAAATCATAATAAGAGGTTATACTGGTAATAAAGAAATAGTAACAAGTACAATGACTGATACTAATTCGAATATTTTTATCAAAAAAATTTTGCTACCCCTATTATGAACTGATCTTATAGTAGAAACAACACTAGAATATATTAATGCTAGATGACAAACGAGTAATTGTGATGAGTAGCAGACAAATAGACAAAATGTTTTCGACTCGAATGCCAGCTTCAGAATTGATCATTGAAAATGAACGGCATCTAAAGTATTTTACATATCTGATTTTAGTTAGCAATGAATATAAAACAATCTTAGTATTTACATTAGAAAATGTTACGTATAATTTAAAGGTCTAGTTAATAGAACGTACGACAATAAAAACAAAATTGAATGATTTCCAAGGAAATCAAGTTATTTATAACACGAGCCTTTATAGGAGATGATCTTTCAGTCCAGTCTCCTATTTCGAAAAAGTTTTTTTGTTATTTATCTGAAAAATCTTAATTTTTTAATTAATTAACACGGTTGTTTATTTCAAAAATATTTTATCAATAATTACAAAATAAATATCTAATACGAACAAAAATGCAAGGTTATTTTCATTGATATTAACAACAAAAATAAATTTGTTTTAATTAAACGTTAAATACTATGTAACCAAACAATATTTTCTTGATCGTTGTTGACAACGAAATTGTTGTGCGAGTTTATTCATAGGATCTAAATAATATTCATTTAACCATTTTTCATGAAAATAAATATTCTTTTAGTCTGATATGTTTCTCCATTGATGATGACTGGTGAAGGAAGTATTGATGAACAACCGATTTGACAGAATTTTTCTTTTCCATAGTCAGATAATTTATCGTCGGGAAAGAAAATTTTTCCAATAAATAAATCTGGACTTAAACAAAGAGCCAAGGAAAATATAAATTGTTGATCTTCATGAGATAAAGATGAATAATTGAAATAATTCGTATATTCATTTAAATCATTAAAACTAATACAATGACAAACACGATTTAAATAATATATAATTTTTCCAATATCATTAAGTGAAATGTTGAATCTTTCCATTGAATTACCAATTGTAATTTGTTTTTGTTTTGAATAGGACATTTTATCAAAATTTTCGAATGATATAAAAAGAATTCGTTCTGATATATAAATGATTCATTTTGATATCATAAAAATGTGTCTCTATAGTATCAAGATTTCGCTGAAAGGAACAGAATATGACTCAATTCTCTTCCTTTTCGTCTCATATTCTTTATGAGATATGTCAAGTGTTTCGTTCGTCGACAATATAAAATCAATAAAATGTGAAAGATTGTCGTATACATGAAAAAACTGCTGAATGTTTTCATTTTCTCGAGAATTCAAAGTAATATTTGTCAATACATGAGAGATAGGAACAAGATAGAGAGCTGCAGTTTCGCCGTTGAAAAGAGATTAATTCAGCGCATCAATTCATAAACAAGTAATGAGTCATGATTATCTTTACAGCATAGACTGTTGCTCTATGAAGGTACTAGAATCGTCGGGAAAGTGCTATAATTGCTCGAAAGGAAAAATATAGGAGAGCAAAATCTCAAAAATGGGTGTGGGTGTGGATGTATAAAGGAAACCACCAGTTACATTCACATTCTAACTTACATTTACATCCATATCCACATTCACAAACTTAAAGTAAGATTGTAACGTAGAAGAGCTAATTACTTTTGTAGATATTTTATAGACGTTACAGGAAATGTTACGCAGTATGTGTCTGACATTGATTAATTTATACGATATAGAAGTAGCTGTTAGTTTATTTGCAACAAATACAACATTATGAAGAAAGTTTTTTTTGTATTAACAACAACAATAAGTCAGTTTTAGTTTATGTTCTACACGTTCAAACAGCAGTATTACATTTTTTCGCCTCGAATAACCTTACTCGATTACCATTATGACGAGTATTATATGCTTGCGTTTGTGTAAAATGTATGGTTACGTTATTATTATGATGTTTTAATTTGAGCATTCGAAAGAGTTTTACACGATAAACACTACTAGAAAGAGTATAAAGAAAAAAAAGGAACAAAATAATCACATTGTTGCCAAGTGACAAAAGCCAATCGTAAACCTATTATGAATGGTGTTCGAGATAATGGCATAAATGTATTCAGTAAATATACAATACCAAATGGGAGTGCAAAAATCATATGAACACCAATTTGAATTATTAACATTCGAGCCAATTGAGTTTCTGTTCGACGATTTTGATTATTACCTCCTATGGGTCTTACTCGAATAAGTTGTTGTCGAATATTAGTTATGGTCAAAATACCAAATACAGCCATGCTTATTGGTACTAAAATATAATAAACAATAATCTGATCAAAAGTAAATATTGTAGTTAACAAATTAGAGTATTGTGTACATAAATGTAAAGTTGAATTAAAATCATAGATAAATATCATTGGTGACATACATAGTGCGCATAAAAATGACCCCAATATAATTGACCATCGTGCTACTCGTATATTGCTCATTGAACGAAGTTTTACTGATATGGAACTTGAACAAAAACGATCGAACGAAGCTAAGATAAGCATTAGACTAGCTTGTAGAGGTAAAACAAATAAGAGAAAAGGGTTCAATTTGCAACCAATAGATGTGTTGATCCATAAAATATTATATCGTCGTAAACTTTGTGTTGGACATAAAAAGCAAGTATTAAGAATACTTGAAATTGAAAAACTAATAAAATAATGACTACAAGGTGATGATCGAAGTGTACGATCACGTAATATACATATATTTAAAATATTTGTAATCATAGTAAGAATAAAAAGAATTGGTTGGACATACATACTAGTCTGATCTACTCGTTCGGTAAGAGTACTCATATTAAAAGTTTTCTAAGATAATAAATGAGAATATATATTACATTATATGCACTGGCATGTGAAATTAATTCATTAAAGAAAATACTTACGGTTATCTTCTTTTTGTAATGCGTAAATTAAGAAAAACTAACTTCTAATTTTAATATATATTCTTTTTTGAGAAGATACAAAGTCTAAAAGTAATAAATGTGTCACACATGAAATAAAATATTGAAAGATTCATGTTTACCTTCATTCTTGCCAGGAGGAAAAATATTTAATAGTTGATATGAATTTTTTTGACAAGAGATAAATTTAGAAACAATTAAATTAAAAAATGAACCTAAGATTATCCGCTAGCTGAATTCTATTAAAAGGCTGTTGGCACAATCCCAGGCGGGATTAAAGTATGAAACACGATCTCACTGTACTTTTTACCTTATTCTATGAAATAAAAGTATAAAAATATCAGAAAGAAGTAATTTACATATGATGAACTCTCTTGACTAGTATTTTAACAGTTGCTACACAATTCAATAGAAAAATCGATTAATATAAAAGAAACTATTCACATATCTATCTTTCCTAAACAGGGTGTGGGTGTGAGTATTTACTTCATCATTATCAACACTCACACCCACGCCCTCAAGATGCTTAAGATGAATCAACTATTGTTGAACCTATATCTCGATAGATAAAAAAATTCAAACAACTATATTGTCAACAATATAATCTTTAGCTTTGTATCAGTAGACTATAGAAAAATTGATATATTCGTCCGCAATTCAGTCCGACATGTAATAAACAAATAGCAAAACAGTTGTTCTCCCGATGTCAGCGGAGGAAATACATTCGTCTGGGAGGTACTAATAAATATACGGCATATAACTGAACAGTGAAAGAAGAGAAGTCAATCGATATTTCGTAGGTATGGATGGTAGAACAGTTCATTTGCTTGATTTACCTGATGAAATATTACTTATTATTTTAAAAAAACTTGATTCCATTGATATTCTTTATTCATTATTGAATGTTAATAAACGACTTGATTAAATGGTACGAAGTGTTAACAATACTAAATTCTTAAACTTTTCAATTAACAATGTTCAACTGAATCGATTTTGTTGTGAAATATTACCTCAAATACATCAAAATATTGTATCACTTACTCTTGATATATTTTCTATGGAACGTATTCTTCTTGCTTGCAAATATCCTAATCTTACCATTGTTGTTTTGATCAATTTTTTGTCAGATATTCTTTTACAATATTTAACAGGTAAATAAAACTTTTTTTTATTCATAATTATGAATACCTATTTAATCATATGATTAGATGAATCGCCAATTTTTCGTTTGTTGCAGCAACAGATAAAACATCTAACTGTTAAGTGCGACAAACAATTGGTTATTAATCGTTCATTTACAGATGTATGTGTACGTATACTTGCCATCTGTAGAAATTTGTCGTACTTAAATGTGCATCAATGGTTAATAACCAATCATGCCTGCCTTTCAATCCGTGATCGACCTCCAAATGTTTGTTTTTCTTCAAATTTACGCACTTTGTCTATTAGTGTGGATACCTTTGATGATTGTCTTTGTCTACTTGATGGTCGTCTAGAACAATTACGTTCTTTCACAGTACGTATTTATTTTATTATAAGATCAAGAATGAATAATAATAATCAAGTAAGCGAATTATTTTGTTCGAATATAATTAATCTATTCTTTTCTTGTTTAACAGACAACTTTATGTAATCTCAAAGAATTCTCATTAATTAGCTATTTACACACAACCGCTTATGATTGTCGAATATTACCACTTCTTCGTCGAATGCCGAATTTAAAAACTCTCACTTTCGGTCTCAATATAGTGCGATTAACTGTTATTGTTAGTTTATATCTTAATGAAGAACTTCTTATTCATATGAAATATTTAAATAAGTTTATATTTCATATTTGTACTGTTTTACCAGATTTTGAAGCGAATTATTTCTTAACAACGAATGATATTAAAAATACATTTCTTAATTGGAAATATTCTTCAGTTAGTTGTTGTATCGATCATTTTTCAGACGGATATAGTTATTATCATATTTATTCGACACCATTTCAAATGACTGATTTTATGTGTCTTTCAAATAGTTTTTGTGGTCAAGATTTCTTATATGTTACTAATGTATGATTATTTGATACACGTCCGTCTGAACATGATTTTTTCGAATGGCTATCACAAGCATGTCCATTACTCAAAGATTTACTCATTGCCAATTTAATACCACAGAACGATAAACGTCAAGTTGCAATAATTAATGATAAAAAAATCTTCTCAAAAATTTCGTATTTACATTTATCTAGACTTTGTCTTTTCCTTGCACATATTGATTATGTTGATCAGTTTCTATGTTATACAAATATGTATTTACCAACTCTTCACACACTTTCAATACAATATGATAAATTAGTTGCTGTCACAGATAATTTTACAAATGATGCAAAACAAACCAATTGTAGTGAAATCAAACAAATCGTATTTTATCAATTGCTAGTCTTAACAAAAGATTTTTATAATTATTTTCCTTGTTTATAAAAAATAGATTAATTCAATATTTGTAATATATTAGTTAGATAGGACATAACCCATGTAAAAATGTATTACTGTTTAACGCTCATTAATTCGTTATAGATCGTTGAATACTGCATCTTTTTCGTTCGTGAAATAGTTTCTTCCATTTTTGGAATATGTTTGAAATTGCTATTGTTCAGTCAGATTTCATCAACTGATTAGTCTTAAGACTAGTGAAAATATTAATTAGTTCAAGACATGTGTTTATTGTAAGGAAGTAAAGATAAACTTTGTCACATACTAAGAGCATTCTTCAAAATTTGAAAAACAGTAAAAAAAAACCTTGAGTGGACTTTTTTCTCTAGTAAACGCATTTTTCAACTATTTTGTAGGTTTGGGTGTGGATGCGTATGTTTCTTATTTATGCCACACACACATCCACACGAAAATAGATCAATGTCCGTGCCTAGACCCTATTCGTACAGTCTAGGAAATGGATAAATCCATTAGTAAATAGAACAGGAAAGCCATACACAAAACTAAAGACCCATCTTGAGGGTGTAGGTACTCACCTCATATCCACACTCACATCCTCAAGGTTCCCCAAAATCTTCCAAAGCATTAAATGAAATTCAGATTTCTACGATAGATTACAACTAGTTTGAATACTCCTGACTTATAATGCTTAGTACCAATCAGTACGACAGTTACATTGCTGATGTATGAGAGTCCGAATAACAAGCACATAAATAATATGAACTGTTAAAATTATCACTTTTTAAAATATTTAATATCACTACTACTGTATTTACCGAACGGAATGGATATAAATTTATATAAACGAACTAACAGTCAGTGCAATCAAAATTAAAAACGAAGATGCATGACAAGCGAATAGCAACAAAGCATTCTAAGAAAGAGAGTGCCAGTCAAAACAAATAAGACAAGCGATTTACTGACAATTTATCATTAATTGAAGAGCAATTATCAACTATTAGACTTTTGTCGCTTAAATCATTTCTTTTTATCTTTCAACAACATTAAATAATTCACTCTTCGTCATTTCCTTGCTACATGGATGAAGGAAGATAAGACACATCATTTTTTTTCATCACTGCATACATAATCTATGTATGTATGCATACTTATTGTTGTTCGACAAAAACAGTTATAATGTATCATGAAACAGAATGGATAAAGATTAGGACGACAAATTTTATAACTATTCAAATCCCCATGGGAAGATTTTTCTTGTTCTCTTATATTAAGTGAAGCTCTGATAAGGGAAATACTCATATATTCTCACTCAATACGCTATGCATTCGGTGGGAAAATTACATTTTTGTCTAAAACTTCTATATAATATATAATGTTTCAATTATATATACTGATTTACTCGTTAATTTAACAAAAAATATCGATGCAGACCCATTCAGAAGCAAACACTTTGTGTACTCCTTTACATCGAAGGTAGGTTTGATATAAGAGTGATCTTTCGAATGGATTTATAATATCTATTATCATTTCAGACAATCATCTCGATTCCTTGGTATAATTATCATTCTGTTATTGATTTTCCTTGTCGCAATACTCGTTCTATACGGAATTGAAATAAACAAAACAAAAGGTACGTATACATGAATTCTATGCAAGTTTAATTCAATACTATTTTTAGTAGAAAATACTAGCGATTTATGTTTAACTCCGTATTGCATCAAAGCAGGTCAGTGAATTTTGTCACACTAGTAAAAATTATTTTATGTTTTAAGCAAATTATCTGATCGAAAGTATTGACGAGACAATCGATCCATGTGAAAACTTCTATGAGTTTGCTTGTGGAAAATATATTAAAAATGCCATAATATCATCGGAAAGTGAGTACAAGAAGAATTATAAAACAAATTAATTCTATACTTTATCATTTGCAGGTAGTGAACAAAGTCCAACAACACAAATAGCAAAAAACTTAGGGCATACATTTGCCGGTACGATATATTATTCTTGTGTTTTATATGTTCTCTCTCGTTTTTCGAAGATTTGTTATCATCGTCACCATCAAATAGAACAAAGAAGTCCAAAGCAATTACTAATGCTCGTCGCTTATATAGTTCTTGTATAGATGAAGATACTATTGAAACAGAAGATGTCGATGTAATAATGTCAATGATCAATAAAGAGCTTGGAGGTTGGCCTGTCTTGCAAGGCTCGGCCTGGAATGAATCAACATTTGATTTTGATCGATTGATGCTCAAATTAAGTCAATACAATAACTACATATTTTATACTGTAAACACAGGTGTTGATGAGACGAATTCATCGATTCGAAGTATTCATGTAAGAGTCAATAGTTTAAATCATTGCTAATAAATATTCCACTTTTAGATTAGACCCTCTAAACTGATTTTAGACATTTTAAATCACTATTCCAAAGGAATAGAGGCTTACCAGTATTTCTTTAAAAATTTTACTCTGGCATTGACCGATGATTCATCAACAATCGATGATGACCTTATTGCTTTAATAGGTTTCGAAATGGACCTTGTCAAAGTAAATTTATTTTTTCGAGCAGACTTTCTGTTTCACTTCTTTTATTTAGTACATTGTATCGCTAGACAAACTAGATTTGCACGAAACTGTTCATACAACAGTTGGTAATCTTTCAAATACAATCAGCGTAAGTGTCAACTTTCTCCTCTTCTTTCTTCATCTTTTTATTCAGTTCGATTCTTCTAACTATATTCGTCGCTTGTATCTGTTTGCTAATGTCTCTGTCATCGATGCAGACATTGTAATTGTGGATGCACCTAAATTTTTGCATGGTATTTCATCAATTATTGATCGAAAATCACCGCGTACCATGCAAAACTATATGATATGGCGCTTCATGATGAATCGAGCATGGTATATGCCAAAACGATTTCGAAATATTCTAAAACAATTTCAAGATGTAGTTTATGGCACAAGTACTGCCGAGTCACGTACAATTACATGTGCTAATTATGTCAATACAATGATGAGCTTGACGGTTTCAAAACTCTACATCGACGAACATTTCCATAAAGATGCTCGAAAAGAGGTAATGAGAAAATAATTCGATAATAGAAAATGTTTGTCTGTCATGATTTTGATAGACAACTAAAATGATCAACAATATTCGAAAGATCTTTATCACGATGGTCAATCAATCGACATGGATGGATTCAACATCGAAAATCATAGCGATTAAAAAAGTAAGTTATTCATTCGATCAATCTTAAAACTAGTTTTTCTATAGGCTCAAGCTATTACAGCAAAACTTGGTTATCCTGATTATTTAGAAGGTGATGATATGACGAAACTTGATAAAATCTATGCTGAGGTACGACATAAAATGAAAATCTATTATTCTTTTTATTTCGAATTTAGTATAATTTCAATTTATCTTATATGCCGAATGTTTTAAGTGCCATTCAACTACATACGAAAGCAAACCTTCAAATGCTTCGCTATCCTATCGATAGTAAAGAATGGACTGGTATCCTTCCCACAAATGTCAATGCCATGCATAGATTATTAGCGAACGAGATCTGTATGGAAGAGTCTCCAACAATAAACAAATAATATCATCGTTTTTTCTTTAGTGTTTCCAGCTGCCATACTTCAAACACCTTTATTCGACAAAGATGCACCAAAGTAAAACGTCATTTTCTCATATTATCATAATATCTTTCATATCTTTGATAGGTATCTCAACTATGGTGGTAAGAATAGATTCAATGAGAAGAGAGAAACAGGAAAATGACATTGAATTTAGGTATTGGCTTTTTTATGGGACATGAGATTGCACATGGATTTGGTGATGAAGGGAAGCAGTATGATCTGAATGGAAATAAAGTTTTATGGTGGAGTAAGGCGACTGACAACGCATTTGACACACGCAAGAAATGTTTTATCGAACAGTACAACAACTATAATTTGACTCAAGTCAATCGTCAAGTATTTCTTTCTTTTATTTTTTTTTGGTTTATTCAAACATAAAATCTTTTTCATTTAGGTAGATGGAGAACAAACACTAGATGAAAACATCGCCGACGATGCAGCACTTAGACAGGCTTTCTTCGTAAGTTTTATCATTTCACTGATTCAAGATTTGAACCTAAATATATTATTTAGGCGTATCAGCAATGGGCTAAGACTCATAAAAATGTTGACAAGAAACTTCCCGGTTTAACCAAATATTCAATAGAACAAATGTTCTTTATGAACTTTGGTCATACATGGTGTACGAAAATGACAAATGAAGCTGCGCACTTGTATATGGACAGAGATGTGCACTCACCTGAACAATTTAGGTTTTTTTTTTTTTTTTTTTTTGGTTTATGCTCATTTTATTGTCACACTCGGAAGTGCTTACAATAGAAAAGAAAATTAAAAATATAAAGCACAGGAGGATAGAAGAAAATCTACCTATATGAAGATATATCTAAAGCATACAAAAAGTAGGAAGAGAGAATAACTTATCTAGTTATATTAACTAATACAGTGTGTGGGGAAAAAAAAAAAAATAAAAATAGAAGTGACAATACATGCAAATAGTATATGATGAAGATACCTTCTTTACTAGCTCTTCCGATCATTTTCCTCATTAAAAACTAACCACTCAAGTAGTATAGGTCGGTGTCTCAGTTTTTGTTTTTTAACACGGTTCAACAAGAAAAGGTTACCTAATCCATCTTTTGGTCTCTTGTGGTAATTATCCCAGTAGAATATGTCCTCGAGGAAAAGTGAAGAACCGAGATCAGATGTATATAATTTCTTCAGTCTCTTCGTTATGTATCTTTTAACATAGTTTTCAAGCGGTTCTTCCTTGGTTAGACTGAACAAATCTTTTGTACGGACATACGGGGCATGGTGGACTAGACGCAAAGCTTTCCTATATTTTCTTCTGATAAATTCTTGGTAGGTTTGAGGGAGAAGAGGGTAAAAAGGAAACAACCAAGCAATGTGCGGGAAAACGTATGCGAAGAAACATCTTCTTAAAGCATCTTTAGAGAGGGTTTTATTACTTCTCAGCCATTTTAGCTTGTTGAGGGAAACTTGTATATTCTCTAGACTTCTCTTGACGGTGGGTTTTAAGGAAAGTTTACTCGTCCAAGTAAAGCCGAGGTACTTGAACGAGTCTACTAAAGCAATTTTATCCCCTAACATGAAAATGTCCACTTTAGGTCGAGTAAATTGGGAGTAAAAAACCTGCGCAACGGTTTTTCCTACATTGATTGGTTGTTTCCAACGCCTCGAGTATTCAGCAATCCTATCGCAGACTTTGCTTCCTTCAACCCCTAAGTACTTAACAAGGTCTGAATAGGATTTCTGAATAGGTGCCCTAATAAGCACACTTAAGTCGTCGGCAAAAATGTGCCCTGAGTGTGCTCCTAGACATGCGGTTAAGTCGCTATGATAAACGATAAAGATAAACGGGCTCAAACTACTTCCTTGAGGTAGGCCAACCCGTACCTCGAAGGTATCTGAAATCGTTTGTCCATAGCTAATACAGGCTTTACGATTTTGGAGCCAACTGTGGATCATATTTAGGAGACCCATAGGGATGTTAAGTCTCTGCAATTTGACAAGGAGGCCTGAATGCCAAACAAGATCGAATGCCTTTTCATAATCTACATACAGTGCAAGGGTCGGAACATTGGCAGCGAGGTTGTTCGATACCTCCTGGTAGATCGAAAGTACCCTTGTAGGTAGAAGACAGTTAGCTCTGAACCCTGACTGTTCATTGGGAATTAAACTGTTCCCCTCTGCCCAGAGCCTAATGCGATCGAGCAGAATCTTTTCGAAGATCTTTGAATGGGTTGACAGAAGAGATATTGGTCTGGTCTGATTACAACGAGGGATTCCTGATTTAAGTTTATTGAGCGTGACGATTTTAGAAGTTTTCCAGCATTCTGGATATCTTCCTTCTTTTAACCAACAATTAAAACAGATTACAAGAAATTCAATGTAGGAAGGCGGAAGCAACTTGATAATGAAGTTGGGTACTTCATCTAATCCTGAGGATTTCTTATTCTTCATCTTTTTAATAATTTTATGAACTTCTTTTGTATTAGTAGCTTCTAGACCTAAATCCGTTGACGTATTAAGTACGTTTATTATTTCCGCATATTCTGTTTCTATTTGTAAATCGTGATTATCCGCTAAGTTAATATTTGGTGCTTTAGCTAAAGTTTCAAAGTATTTGTACAGCTCCCTTGTGATCTCTTGCTCATCACTTATGATTTTAGATCCTGCATGTAGTTTAGAAAACGGTAACGTTTTGCGTTTGTATATCTTGGAAAGATGCGTCCAAAAGGTATTCTCTTGTCTAACATGAGAACTTTGTATAGAGGATAAGAAACTTATCCATCTCTCCTTTCTATATTTATAGATTTCGTTTCTTACATCTCTGGTCATAGTCAACAATTTAGGTAAAGTTATTTTTATACGTCAGTCTGTGCTATCAAAAACGATTTATGCTTCTAGAATAAATGGTCCCACCTCAAATTTTGTTGAATTCGATCGAGTATTCGGCTGCAAAACAGGTCAAGGCAATAGTCGAGTGAACAAGTGCAACGTATGGTAGTGGCTTCATGATGCTATCTCAATCAATTACATCGAATATATATATGCACTTGTACAAGGCTTTTTTCTCTCATTTTTTGTTTTATTATCTATGGGTGTCGATTTATAAATTAACATAACATCTACACTCACATTAAATAAAAATAAGAACAACTTATATTTTTGCAGAGTATGATGTTTCTCTTTGCATATTATCATAAAAAAATATTTCATTTTCTTTAAAATACGAAACACAAATTCAACATGATAAAAATTATCAATTGAATACAATAAATCTATTAAGCGAATAACTTTTTTTTAAAAATTGACAAATAGATTAAAATTCTTGTTAGCCAAACTAATTTTCAGATAAACCTTATTTTATTATTTCAACTACAAGATATAAAATTTTCTTGCTTTTTTTCTAATTATATTTAACGTTTAGTAATATTTGCTAATAAACTATATTTTGTTCCTAATGTTATTTTAACTTCTGGAATTATTTTTTGTTCAGGTATTAATTTGAAATTACATTGTTGTACGAGCATAGCTAACATGACTTTTACTTCAAATAATGCAAAAAATTTTGTCCAATACAATTTCGTGAACCAGCAGCAGAAGGAAAATAAGCAAATGAATGAACTAATTTTGGTTTAAGATCATTTTTTGAATCGCGTAACCAACGAGTATAATCAAGGGTCTATGTGGGTTTTCTTTTCATTCTACACCCACAACCACACCCTTCAACTTTTATCTAACCATCTTAGATATTACATTAGTTTTATTAGTAAGATTTTGTCATAAAAAAATTCTTTTTCCGTTTCTTCTACTACACAACAATGTTTTTGTTATCATTGAGTCATTATAAGTTTATATTTATAAAAGAAGATAAGAAGATATTCATTTCATCTAAAAACTTCGCTCCAAAGACATGGCAATGGCAAGTAACAAAACACTATGTTTTAAATGCAAAAAAGAAAAAATAACATATCCTTGTGAAGGATGTTCAAAACATTTTTGTTTAATGGATTTAACAGAACATCGTCAAATATTAAATAATGAATTACATCATATCGCCAATGAATATAATGAATTTAAACAAACATTTGATGAACAAAAACAAAATCCACAAAATCATTCATTAATAAAACAAATTGATCAATGGGAAATAAATTCAATTAAAAAAATTCAAGAAAAAGCACAAGAGTACAGAGAAATCATCATTAAATTATCGCAAACATGTATCAATGATATTGAAATGAAATTTAAAGACTTGAATGAACAAATAAAACAAATGCAAAATGAAAATGAATTTAATGAAATCAGTTTAAATTATTTAAGAAATCAATTGATGAAAATTGCAAAAGAATTAAATAATCCAATAAATATTTCTATTAAAGAAGATTCACAATCATTTATTAATGAAATTTCAATTATTTCATCGAAAAGTAAGGTTTTAAGAAATTAATTTTAAAAGAAAAATTTTAAGGAGGAGGAGAAAAAATAATTGAGAATATTATTGATTTATTTATTAATTAAATCGATAAGAATAGTATTCATATAAATAGAAAATAAAATTTATTCATAAGTAAAAGAAAACAAAATACAGTGAGGTGGGGGAATTCGGATCAGAGCTACCAAGAAATCA